ACACCTCACTCCTTAAGCTTGGCTTGTGCACAGCAACTTCTCCAAAGGTGCAATACAGAAGAAGCAGGGGCTGGACCATGGCTGAGCCTGGCAAAGACAGCCCTGGCGGGTACCCAAGGCAGCCGCAGCATGTGCCATCATGCCCACTGCACTCACTATTCATTACTAGTGAAAGTGAGACCTTACTTTTGTACTACTCCTTCCCCAAACTGGGTCTAATAAGGAGAAAAACGTCAGAAAGACAATCACAATAGAGAGACATTTTCCAAAATACTTAAATTTCATTCCTCAAAATTGGCAAAGCAATTAAAAAAGCAAAGGGAGAGAAACTGTCACACCTCAGGCCAGTCTCAGACCAGCCTCAGGACACATGTAGACGAAATGTAATATGGGATCCTGGATGGGACCCTGTAACGGAAATGAATGCTGGGAAAGAGCTAAACAACCCTGAATGGAGGATAGGTGCTAACTAATCGTAACATAGCAATGTCAGTTCGTTAACTGCGACAATCTGTACCATTCTGCCAGTTAATAAGAGTGGAAAAGAGCTGTAAGGCGTAGTAATGGGAACAGGTGTGCAGGGCTCACCAGAACTCAGGAATAGAGTGAGGAGAGGTGGGTGAGGATGGGGAGGAGAGGTGGGTGAGGATGGGGAGGAGAGGTGGGTGAGGATGGGGAGGAGAGGTGGGTGAGGATGGGGAGCAGTCTGCATTGCTAAGGACAGTACAGAGCTATGGGTGATGTGTGCAGAGAGGTTAAAAATATTGTGGTGCATTAGAAATGTCCCGGCTGAGGTCATCTGCATACATTTTTGTTGGGAACAGAGAGCCCAACTGAGCACCTTTCTCATAATAAGCCGGCCAAGAATAGAGAGAGCGGGTGTTGTGATTGACCTAGATACTCAGCACGGTTTCTCCCTTTGAATGTGAACTATGGAAAACACTGTTTTGAATTGTTTAAATGTTCATCCAATCCTGTATCCCATGAACCCTTCTCCTCAAGAAACCCCTCTCTTTTCTCTATATTCTACAAATTTCTCATGTTAATGCAAAATAGTCTTATGGTGCATTAGAGAAAAACTTCATACAGAATTTAAAATATCAAATAAAATTTCCAAAAAGGACTGGGCCTATCCACTAGCTTTGAAAACATTTTTCTAACTAACAGAAGTGGAAAAAATGAAAAGATCTGTGGGTTTCTAAGAAGACTTGGAGGTCAGCACTGTAGAATCCCTGGGTTCACCTGCCTGCCCGGTCAACACAGGTGAATGAAAATACTCAAGCAAGGCACACCAGCCAAACTAGAAAATATAAGGTAACAATGTATCTTTTTTTGCTCCCCCTTCACGATTCCTAGCAGGCTGTTTTTAAATTCACTATATGATCTTGATTTCCTTATTCTCCTGCCTCTACCTCCCAAGTTCTGGAATTACAGGTTTGAGACATTACATCTAGTGTATGCAGCGCTGGGGAGCGAACCTGGCACTTCCTACATAAAGCAAGCACTCTATCAATGGGGCTGTCTTAGCTTATACAGTATGTTCACATATGTTGCTTCATGGTAATCTTGTGACAGACATCGTAAATATTAGCTACCTTGTTTTGCAAACTTTGCAAAAGAGGAGTAGGTTGAGTGCTTTATGTTGAGTGCCCAGTACCAGGCATGCAGCCCACAACTTCATACTCTCTGCCACTGAGCCCTGCGGAGACGTCAAACAACGGCTCTCAGGGGAGCTCAGTCAGAACCTGCTGCCAGTCACTCAAGCCTGGGCTGCTTTTCATTGTTTCTGGTTCCGGGTGTTCATGATAAGCGGACGTGGGTTAGAAGCACAGGAGTTCTTGATAGTGCTAACGTATACTTGCCAGATGAATAAAGACGTAGCATTCGCAAGTAAATGCTGAATACATACATTCACCAAAAGAGATTTAACTTTCTTTAGTCATTATTCTATAAAGAACAGTTGTTATAGGAAAGATAATAAAGAACAAATAAAAGAGATGAGCAACTGCATAAATGTCTCACAGATTAGGAATAAGTGTCTATGCAGCACAGAAGCGTTTGAGATTGACCCAAGTTAGTTATTCTTAGACTAAACTGGAGGGAAATTAAGTAATACATAGACCATTAAAAAATAACTACACAGCTGGATCATTATGCAGCATTCTGAAGCAAGTGACTAGGACAGGAGGGACAAAACAATGTTACAGAGATTAGGAACTGGAGCTTGTGAGAAAGTGATCTAAATTTGTATAGCCTCAGGCATGACTCAGGGAGACATAATCACAGCCTATAAATACCCACCAAGCAGCAAAGTGTGGTAAATAAAGAGAGTGAATTATTCACAACCTTGCATTCTGGTCACTCCTCTTTGTGCAGTTGTGTGAGGAAGACAACACTTTGTACCTGAGCTGGTGTGACCTGCAGAACTCAAAACAGCCAAGGACTCTCAGCCCCAGCCCTTCTGGAGATGCCCGGCGGGGGTTAAAAAGAAGAGCTGCAGCAACTCAAAACAAACTTAGGGGCATTTTTAGAGGCTCCTTGTTTCATAATGCTTCGTCTGGAGATATTCTTTTTCTCTCTCTTCCTTCCTGTTTTTCCTTCCTTTCTTCCTTCTTTCTTTTTTTTCCCCCTTACTGGTCTTTTGCATATATATACATTATGGTTTCCAGTATTGTATTTTTATAAGATTTCTTCATGTGCAAATGTGTCTCTGCATCTATATGTGTTTCCTGTGATTTCTCTTTAGCTCTTTTTCTCTTGTTAGTTTGTTTGCTTCTTTCTGTTCTAGCTTGTTTTTTTACTTTACATTATTTTATTGTTATTATTATTTAGTACCTGTTTGTATGCTAATAAAAGAGTGAAAACAGAGTGTGGATTTGAGTGGATAGAGAATAGGAAGGGGTCTGGGAGGAGCTAAGGAAGAGGAAACCATAAATAAAATATAGAATATGGCAAGAATCTATTTTCAATTAAAAAATGGGAATGGGTTGCATATACATATAATATATGTGTACACACATGTATGCAACCCATTCCCACTTTTTATTGAAAATAAATAAATACACACACACACACACACACACACACACACACACACACGTATATAAAATTTAGACGTTGCCTCCCGGTGCTCTCCCTGAGGTTAGGAATTCTGCTGGAGGGTTGCATAGTTCCATGGAGTATCTTTATTTCATTTCCACTTTGACACAGAAAAACACAGAATAGAATTTAACTGCCCCTCCCAACTGGATAAAAAATAGAGCATGAGGCACAGCGTACAGTGCGAGGTGCTTAGCTTCTGGAAAATGTACAGGTTTGAAAGTCAAAGCAATGGGCTCACAGCCCACAGAGCAAACCTTGCATAGTCTTCACACTTAACAGTTTTCTCATTACCTTTCTCAAGACCTTTCTTGGTCTTTCCTGATGAATGACATCTTAGATACGATGTATCTTTGGCCCCACTGACTTGTACAAAGTGTTACTAATTATCATTATGATGACTCAAACAGGATGAATTAAAAATCATCACTTTTCACATATTCCTTCCAGAAGAGAGGGATCTTGAGAATTTCTAGGTTTTCTAACTAAACCTTGTGATCTTCATAAGCCACAGATATTTCAAAAGACCAACCTGGTTGCAGCCTTGGAGCAGTGGCCTAAATTACTTGAATTGCAGCAAGAGGATGGTTGCTGGCCAGTAGTGGGCCCTGCAGAGTGAAACTTGGAGACTCAGGAGCTCTGCAGAGCACAGCCAGCACAGCTCATCCAGAGTCCCATGAGTGTTCCTAGACTAGTAGAAAGCCTATCTACATTTAGCTTAATCGGGCACTAACTCTTTAAATATAATTCCTAACTTAACAACAAAGACCCTGGGTTGTGACTGGCTGTTATCCCAGGAAATTTCCTGATTTAAGGTACACAGCTTTTTACTGCTTCGCATGAATTTTAAAGCAGCAATGAGTGTTTTAAAGTGTTTTAAAGCTGGAGTGTTGGCCAAAGGCTACCTGCTGTGACCATGGTCTGCCAATCCCACAAACTGATCCCTAGGTAAGGACAATGAGTGTCCTGAGGATAGTGCCAACCACGAAAAGACCATCTGGGGCTTGTTTCTAGGCTCTCAGCCATAGTAGTTCCCTTCATGTTCCAAATTCCAAATGGCCATTTCTTTTTCCCAGAAGGTGGCCAAGGGCATTTCCGTTGAAACTGTATCTTTGTGACAGTATCACTTCCCAGAAACTATTCACTTTTGCTGTGATAAAAACTAGACCTTGGATAAATGTCACATAATGAAGGCAGAAGGGCCATCAAATTTCCACGTATGCACACACGATCACACAAACGTTAGTGTGTGGCGTTTCCGCCCACAGTGTTTACCAACAAGGACAAATGAGGGAGCAAGCTCTGTTGGGGACAACATGTTACAAGAACTTAGCAGAAATTCAGCCTCCGTAAAATGCTCTTTTGAATTGGTGGAGTTTGGCAGACCCCCAATATTAACACAGACTTATGGAAATGAGAACAAAGGGCTTAAGCCTAGTGGGAATGGCAGGCTGCGGCTGGGCATCTGGAAAGTCTGGCTAACTAAAAGTGATGTCTTTTGTGCTGGAATCTTTCTATCTCAAAGCTGTTAAAAGGCTGTAATTATTTTGAGTTTCCAATTCAGTTCTTTTCAAATTAAGCCTTTTATTTTCTTCAGGGCTCCTCACATTCCCTCTGTGTGAATGTGGGCATTTGCCAGGCTCTGGGATGGCAAGTTCATAGTGGCTTTCTATGCACACCATTCCCAGCAGGCTCACACAACTTTTGCAGCCTCTATGCCAAGAAAAACAAAGAAACATTTGTACATTAAAACCTTTATCTTTTGCACAGGATTAGAATTCCTGAGCACAGCAAAATAAATCACCTGATAAGCAAAGGCTGGTAAAGGCCAAGGCAAAATGTCTTTGCAAGTTAGTGCTTTTCTTCAAGGGTAAAACCAGGTAACAAGATCTCAGGCTTACCTTGTAGCTTGTGGGTCCCAGATCACAATGTCAGCATCTGATCCCACAGCTATCCTTCCTTTTTTTGGATAAAGATTGAAGATTTTAGCTGCATTTGTGCTGGTAACTGCCACAAATCTGTTTTCATCCATTTTACCACTGTGCTGTAAACCAATTCAAAGAAGGTGCATTTGCTGTGATGACCAAACATTAAAACTGCCTCTGGGGATAAAGTGAAAGACTTTCATCTGTTAACCCAAGCTGAACTGTATCTCATTTCCTGCATTAAGGAGAGACATCCTTACACGCTCAGTGTAAACCAGTCTCAGCATTGCTGGTGAAGACTGGCTTCTGGAAGCCTGAGGATGGCTTCTCAGAAATCCTATCAGATTAAAACACAAACCCACTGTTTCCTCCCCACCTGCCCCCAGACCATCCAAGTCTATTACTCAGGACAGCTAAATGCTGATAATAGCATTTTCTATTTCCATTTAAGGTTTTCTACTATCATAATGATATTTATGATCTACCATATTTATTACAGACTTGAGGTGATTATGTAAATATCAGGTAAAATACTAAATAGTTATAACAAGATATTATGATGTTTTTAAATTAGGTGGCAATGCCTTTAGAAGATAAAAGATAAACACAAGAGGTACAGTTTTATATAATTTAAATGTATATGACACAAAAATGTTGGAAAGCTATTTAAAATTTTTTTAATCTAGAACCCTTATATATGTGGGCTTATGTGTGTATATAACAAGACTGCCCTTAAGAGTTATTTATTAGTTCTATTATCACCAGAAGTAAATCATCTTACTGTTTCAGAAAATTATACAGTTTCATGCATGTTACTGGAAAAATACTTAATTATTTTGAAGATAATATTTAGATATGTATATAAATTTATCTTTATACATAGGAAACTATAATATATTATGAAAATCTGTCATAAAGGTGTTACTGTAATAACACAGGTTTAAGGAGAAAAGTTGGACTATAATTTAGAATATTTAAGCAAGGAGAAAGAAAGGGAGAATCATTAGGGATGGTGAGAATTACGGGTAGAGAAAGGGGCCAAGGAAGAAGATCAACAGAAGCTAGGACTAGAGAGATGATTTGAAGATGCTTGTACTAAATTGATTGCTTAAATACTACCCTTTCAGTAATGGGCAACACTGTTTTTGAGAAGAAAGTAACATGAACAGAACTTCACTTATGACTGGCAACTCAGGGTAGGCCATATCAGAGCAGGTGATGACTGAGAATAAGATGAGCTTTGGGACTACTGGACTGGTCCAAACAACATTTGAGCCTCCAGTTATATAGCAGCCATGAATATGGAAGTGAGGAGGCATTCTGAAAATAAAATCAGTGGGATTCAGTGGATAATGAATGTGCTGGCCAGTTTTAGGTCAACCTGACACAGCTAGAGTTATGTGAAAGGAGGGAACCTCAATTAAGAAAATGCATCCGTAAGATCCAGATGTAGGACATTTTCTTTTTTTTTTTTATTCACTTTACATCGCTATCATAGCTCCCTCCCTTCTCTTCTCTCAGTCCCACCTTCCCTCCCCGTTCTCCCTATTCCCCTCCCCTACCCCTCAGAGAAGGGAGCCCCCGCCCTCCAGCATACTAAGACACATCATGACTAAATGCATCCTCTTCCCCTGTGACCTGGCAAGGCAGCCCCACCAGGGGAAAGTGATCAAAAAGCAGGCAGCAGAGGCTATGTCAGAGTCAGCCCTCACTCCCCTTACTGAGGACTGAGTTGGTAGGGCATTTTCTTAACTAGTGCTCGATAGTGAGGGAGCTCAACCCAGGGCGGGGTTCTCTTCCTGGGATGATGGTCCTGGATTCTACAGACAAGCAGGCTGCACAAGGCCATCACCAGCACACCAGTGGGCAGCACCTTAGGGCCTCTGCCTCAGCTCCTGCCTCCAGGTTCCTGCCCTTCGATAATGAACTATGATGTGGAAGTGTAAGCAAAATAAACCCTTCCTTCCCTAAGCTGCTTTCGGTCACGGCATTTTATCACAACAATAGAAACCCTAAGTAGGACAATGAGAATTAAAAATGGTAGTAGATATGGGAGAAACTAATCAAAGAGAATTTTCAAGTGTGAAATATGATTAATGTATCGTCTAAGAGAAGGGTCTTTGAAAGGCTTGGGAGTGGGAACCTTAGGGCTACCTATCTCCCAGATCTTTATAACTGCACACATTACCTGGATAGACAGGTTGATGCCTGTCTGTGTGATTTTGCTCATCCTGAAAAAGAAACTTTATCATTCTTCATTTATTATTAGTCTTAAAAATCACTTTTCTTCATTCATTATTAGTTTTAAAAATCGCTTTGCCCACAGATTTCATTATCTATATAATTTCAGGCAGCAGATTTAATATTCCATCCTCTCAAATATTTACATTAATGACACGTAAAGAATAAGCCTATCTGGACCCAGTCTAAATTGATGCCCAGTGTCTCTGCAAAGTGCTATAGCACATCAGAGCTGAACTATGCAAAGAAACCGACTGCTTGTTTGCTGATAATGCCTGGAGGAAGGCGGAGTGGAGTTGAGAGCGACTGGTGATTCCCTGTTTGAGAGAGAAAATGAGAGACAGAGACAGAGAGACAGAGACAGACAGACAGACAGACATAGAGGTAGAGAAAGACAGAGAGAGAGAGAGAGAGAGAGAGAGAGAGAGCTCTTTCTGTAAATGTTTATGCCTCTTTTTGCCCCAAACAACATGATTCTGAGTGAACCAGGCTCATTCCTGTGAAACTCACCACGCCCTTTTCCCATATCACCGACATCCGGTCCTCAACACCATTCACCCCGTTGGGAATCTTAGTAAAGTCGTCCTTCCCTAGAGCCTTTTGGCAGGTGTTGAAAGTGCAGTTGTCACTCCCCGTTGTGGTCAGGTCTCCACTGCACAGAATGGAAAAGAAAGGAAGGCAGAATGAGGAGCTGGGTGGACAGCACAGGGAGGAGGAAGCTCCCTGGTGTCTCTGAGCTCTCTGAGCATCTCCTCCATGGAATGCTGAGGAGTGAGAGGGGGCGTTGAATTTCTAGTACATACCTCACCTCCCTTCTGTCTATCTTCAGAAGCACTTTTTGAGAACCACTAAAGGATTATAATGCAGAGTCCTAGGCAAGCCTGTCTTTTACTGTTTTTCTATTTCTTAGGAAGATGGCTAGTTTGAAGAAGAAATGATCTGTCAAATGATAAGGTGCATACTAGACTCTGCACCAAGACTTATGAACCCATGGATACGAGCTTGTCCCATCTAGAAACTGGTAGTTGTGTGGACCTGAGAATGCTAACAGCAGGGTCACTAGGAACACTGGAGGTGGAAATTTCTTGTGAGTAGAATCCACACAAAATGTATCATCACTGTCCACCTGGTAATGGAGGCAGGTCCTCCAGAGCAGCCCTGTGACAGATGCCCATACTGTTCTGAACACAGACGCAGAACAGCTCTATCACCAGGGACAAAAACCCCAATTTGGTTCATAACTAATCTCTGGGATAAAGAAGTGTGAAGGCAGAAGGAATTTAAAAGGAAAGGGCAAGCGGATTCTTGTGCAGTCTACTGTGGAAAACTCCCCATTAAAATTAAAATCTGGGAACATATGAATGGGACATGTTAGAATGTTCAAAATGACTAAAAGGGGTATTCCATCAACCCAGTCCTTAGATCACATCAGCTTATACAGTCCAGTGTTTTCTGCCCCCAGATACCATTGGTCAAACAGTAGAGAAGACCACAAGGTCCATGGATCTGCAGATTTATGACAAGCTCTTCTCCACCCAAAGAAGAGACTGATAAGAATTATCTCCCATCCAAATACTTTACAGTCATCTAAAAACTCATTACTTAGCCAACAGATTCATGAGAAAGCCTGGTGTTGAAGGATCCGGTCTGAGCGGAGGACCCATGACGTGGTGGGCTGCGTGACGCCATTCTTTGCTCCAGTAGTGTGTGCCATCAGTGCCGAGACCTGCTGCAATCGGCTCCCCATAGACCACCTTTCCTGGAAGGTGCAAAGGCATGGTTCAGGCCCGTAACGCAGTTTTAAAGAAACCATCTGACAAGCACATGGGTGGTCTTTTCTGTCCCAGAAGAGGCTGTTACTATGGCATCATAGAACCCAATCCCTCACCTTACTTCTGTGAACAGGACTTGATAGTTAACAACTGATAATTGTCGAGTGTTTACTGTGTTCTGGTCACATGCATTGCAAGGTACAGATTTTTCTCCAGTTACTTGACATCAGATTGAGCTATGTGATTGTTCGGGTCAATTAGATGAGATGCAGACAGCATGTTTCACTTCTAAGCAGAGGTTACTAAAACCACTGTGGATTCTTCTCTCTTTTCTTCTTCTGTTATGACACTGGGTGCCTCCAAGTGAAAAGGCTATCTAGTGGAGACAAAGCCAAGGGTAGAAGCCTGTAGTTGGAAACTGCTCCAATTTCAGCTCCACTGTTAATGAAGCATCACCCAGAGGATGCTGGGGGCTGAAGGTGTGTTTATAATGCAGTCTTAAAATCTGAAACATCATCACTATTTCAATTAAAAGATAAAGCTATGGGATTACAGTTTCCCTACAGCTACTTAGTTTATATACATTTCTTATATATGCAGTGAAGGAGATGGGATTTGAACCCAGGAATTTTGAGTCAGTGGTCTCAACTTTTATACCATCTAGCTAGATGACAGCCCACCATCAATGTAGTTGTATGGACTTCAACTGTGGTGTTTCTCTGCTGCTGACTGATCTATAACCTCTTCACACCCTCAAAAAGAACTTTCTCAGGAGACTTATATTCAGTGAAAGAACACTCAGATAATAAAATTGTAGCCCAAAATGCACACTTAAAAAATCATGCAAATGAGGCCATCCAAAGCACACAATGTTGGAAAACTTAATAGTGCACAGTGAATTTGAATTTAAAATCAGGCTGCTATCTGATTAGCATTTGTCAGAATAATAGATTCACTGGCATCAATCTCATCACATGCAAGCAATCAAGGGGGAAAAAAAAGAGTGCAAGGCGAGGAGATGCTAGCATGCCAAATGAGCTCACTTTGGTTGACCAGATGCTGGGTTTTAGTTACAATCCAGATAGATAACCGAAATTAACTGACTTCCTTAGAGAGCACATGCAGTGGCTGGCCACCAGCTGCCCAAGTCCTCAAAATGGAAATGCAGCACCCTATTATCTCACAAATAATGCCTCCTCTCCAGCCTTTCCTCCAGCTAGCCTAGGAAACAGTCAAAGTCAGGCTTGCTGAAGCCTCGGAATTTCACTTGAGGGCCCTGCCACGGCCTGTGAAAGTGGTTTCCCGAAGACCCCAACCTTGCCTCCCTGAGACACTCCCCTCTGCCCACTCCCCCACTCTTTACGGCCCTGTCCCCAGAAGAGAGAAGCGACGTTAGTATCTGTGTGTGGCATGCGGGATAGACAGCTGTCATGAGTAGGAACCGAAAGAAACTACAGCGAGACCAAGATGGACGCAGTCTCTCTGTGCAGCCCCAAAGAGAACTTGCTGTTCCCACAGTGGCTCTCCCAGTTGCTTGGACAACGAGACTCTGACTTGATTTGCAGTCTCTTCATGAGGTGCCAACTCAGGATTTTTTGTGGTGCTTCATCATCAAGGAAAGGTCCTGTCACACGTTCTGCTCAATCACTTGGCACACTGAGATGATATGGGAGTGCAGCTCCCAAACTTCCGCCATCTTAATAGCTCTCGGGAAAAATTAAATGTCAGCAGCTAGTGCAAGTCTGGCAGGGCTGCTTCAGATGCAGATGACAGGTAATTTCCTCAGAAGGGCTTAGCCCCTTTCAAACATGACAGGCTGCTTCTTCAGTGTATACAAGCTCTTCATTAAAGAGCCCATTTTCATCTTTATTCTCACTACATATTTATGAATAAAAAAATTAACAATAAAAATTCAGAATGGCTCTTTGCTCCCTTCCACAATTTTCAAAAGATCAAAACTCACATAAAAAAAAAACTATAAAGGAAAAAGAAGACAGAGTCTGGTAATCCAAAAATTGAAGATTCAAATTACAAAATCCAACCTAATTGTAAGTCCTGGAAGATTTGAGCTAAAAATAAGACAAGAGAAATTGCTGCCTTAAGTATAGACTGTGTAACCTTCAAAACTCTTGCACATGACCTCACAGCAACACCTCATGCTGGTTTGAGGAATGAAGAAATTGATGCTCAATGAACCTAACTGATTTGCCAGACTTCTCAGTGGTGGCATAGCCCTTGCTGGACACGGGACCATATATCCACATTGCTACTAAGAAAAGCATCATTTTTATTCCCTGGTAAAGAGCATGTACTCTTAAATATTTTCAGTCAACGACAAGCTATCTGTGGATGTAACCAAGTGATTATCCAATTCCCCATCCTGGCTTCCTTTGCTCTACACTGAGATAAAAGCACCACAACTAAGGGAACCCAGAGAAGAAAGCATTTATTTGGGATTACAGTTGTAGAGGGCGAGAGTCCATGATGGAGGAGGAAAGGCGTGGCAGCAGGAAGCAGAGAATATTCTGGAAACAGCATGGGTTGTTTGAAACCTCAATACCTAGTTTCTAGTGATACACCTCCTCCAACGAGGCCACACCTTCTAAACCTTCCCGAATAGTTCCACAAACTGAGGCCTGAGTATTCAAACCTATGAGCCTATGGGGACCATTCTCATCCAAGCCACCACATACCAAAATTCAAGAAGTCTTCATATATATTGAATAAAGTCTTTATAGAAGTAATAAAATTAAAGTGAGGTCAGTGGGGTAGAGACTAATCTATAAGACTGGGGTCCTATAAGAACTGGGAATTAGAAACATAGACCAACAGAAGGGACACGTTGAAAGCAGAGCAGAAAGACCTCCTGATGGAGCCAAGGAGTGAGGTCTGGGACACAGCCTGGGACTTGGCCTGGGATATGGCTTCCTCCAGAGCTCAGATTTCTCATATCCAGGACGCGGGAAAGACTGATCCCTGCTGCTTACACCATGAGCTGTGGTACTCTGTGAAAGGAGCCTTAAGAACTCTACACAGTCCATAGATGCAGTTTTCTTCAGAGCCACACAATTCTAGTTTTTGAAATGCTCTTAAATGGCCAGTTTTCAACTACTTGAAGTTATATATTTTCCTAGATTTAAAAAACAATGAGATAATCAGATGTGGAAGACCAAGGAAGAAAAGAGACAAGGTGAGATTCCAATTCCCCTGGACTCAGCCCCACATCACCCTCCCCAGCCTGGCCACGGGCTCTGTAAGTGGAGAAGAAACAAGATTTGGCCTGATGCTATTCTCAAATAAAGAGCCTGACCACTTGAGAGGATGTGGTCTTTTGTGCATTGTGAGAACTTTATGTCCTACAACAGTAAGCTTGCATAGGAAGCTGTGTGCTGTCGGAGACCAAGACCAGTTCAAAGGACGAGCAACCAAATAAACGGCAAACCAAACACCAGGCCAGCTTGCACCGAGGGGCTTAAGAACTCACAGGACTTTAGTCTAGCAAAATCCAGTGCGGACCCTGTAATCTGCTGTTTATGAGAAGCCTAAAGAACATGTTTCATCAATATGGTCAAACAATATGCATGCTTGCCTCCTAAAGATAGGAGCTTGGGTATACAATAAGGTTGAATTTTAGTAAGATGTGTCAAAACAAGTTAAGGATGGTGGGCTTCTGTCTTAGTTAGGGTTTTGATTGATGTGAAGAGACACCATGACCATGGAAACTTTTATGAGGAAAAACATTTAATTGGGGGTGGCTTACAGTTTCCGAGGCTTAGTCCATTATCATCATGATGGGAAGCAGAAAGACATGGTGCTGGAGAAGGAGCTGAGAGTTCTACATCTGCATTGGTAGGCAGCAAGAAGACTTGACTTGAGCTTCTGAGACCTCAGACCTCAAAGCTTGCACACTGACATACTTCCTCCAACAAGGCCACACCTACTCAACAAGGTCACACCTACTCAACAAGGCCACACTTACTCAACAAGGCCACACCTACTCAACAAGGCCACACCTACCCCAGCAAGGCCACACCTATTCCAGCAAGGCCACACCTACTCAACGGGGTCACACCTACTCAACAAGGCCACACCTACCCCAGCAAGGCCACACCTACTCCAGCAAGGCCACACCTACTCCAGCAAGGCCACACCTACTCCAGCAAGGCCACACCTATTCCAGCAAGGCCACACCTACTCAACAAGGTTACAATGCGTTTTCTAATAGGTCATTGAGAACCCCATGTTCAGCGCTGTGGCTGGAAAGCTAGTGAGATTAGAATAATCACTCCTGTCAGAGGCTCACACAGGCACATGCACTGTTTGGAAAAAGACTAGGCCATGACTGGGAGTTGTTTGCACCTGTAATGCCAAAACTCCAGAGGCTGAAGCAGAAAGATCCTGAAATCAAGGCTAGCCTGGGCTATGCAGAGACTCTCATCTCAAAAAGAAAAATTAAAACTAAATGACAGAGAGCAGGTCAGGTCTGGGCTGGGCTGACCAGAACTACTTCTTCTTAAAAAATATTTATTTATTTTTATGTATGAGTGATGTGTTTTTACGCAGCTAGAAGAAAGGATCAAATCCTATTACAGATGGTTGTGAGCCACCATGTGGGTGCTGGGAATTGAACTCAGGACCTCTGGAAGAACAGCCAGTTACTCTTAACCACTGAGCCATCTCTCCAGCCCTGACCAGGACTTTTGAGTGAGTTAAAAGAGTAGTGGGTATATCCAGTTTTCAGCTTGGCTTCTCTGAGATAACTCTTGGGACAAACTTCTGTGTTTCCTTCTTGCACAAGTGGCTTAGCACAAGAGGGATGAGTGGGAACTCAGCTATTTCGGTTACCCAGCTCAGGCCAAGCAAGCCTTAAGAAAGAAGTGGACAAGGGCAACTCAGCTTTGTGCAGCGTGAGGGACTTTGACATCAGACATGGACATGCAGAGTCTGAGTTTGTTCAGCTGGTTTTTGGTCAAATATTCCTTCACTA